TGAACCCGTTTATTATATCTAACAGCTCTTGTGTGGAGTCTTTAGGATTTCCTATACATAAGATCATATACTATGCAAAGAGATAATTTTACCACTTCCTGTGCAAACTGGAGAGCTTTTATTTCCTTTTCTTGTCTAATTGCTCAGGCTAGGATTTCCAGTACTATGCTAAAAAGTGGTGACAGTAGACATCCTTGTCTTATTCCTGATCTCAGAGGAAAGCTTTCAGTCTTTCACCATTGAGCGTTTGCTGTGAGTTTTCATATATATGGTTTTTATTATATTAAGGTACTCTCCTATTATTTTGTTGTTTTTCATAAAGAGTGTGGAATCTTGTCAAATGCTTTATCCACATCAGTTGAGAGGATCATGTTTTATCCCTACATTTTGTTGATGTGGTGTATTACACTGAGTTTTCAAATGTTGCAACATTGCATTTCTGGAAAAAATTGCACCTGGTCATTGTGTATAATGCATGTAATATACTGCTGAATTCCGTTGGATAGAATTTTGTTAACAATTTTTGCATCAATGTTCACAAGGAATATTGTTCTGTAGTTTTCTTTCCTTGTGGTATCTTTGCCTGGCTTTGGTATCAGGGTTATGCTGGCCTCATAGAATGAATTAGGATGTGTTCCTTCCTGTTCAACTTTTGGGAAAAGTTTGAGGACTGGTAAATGTTTGGTAGAACTCAACAGTGAAACCATAGGTCTAGGGTATTTTGTTGTTGGGAGATTTTTTCATTACTGATTCAATCATCTTACAAAGTTATAGGTGTATAGATTTTCTAATTTTTTATGATTTATTAGTCTTGGTAGTTTTTTTGGGGTTTTTAGGCTGAGCCATCCTGCCACCTGTCGGCAGCTCAGTTCAGGCCGGGAAGCCAACTGCTTTTGCTCAGAGCTCACACTCTTGAGCGAGCTCTTAACCAACTGAGCCACTCGGCCAGCCCTTAGTCTTCGTAGGTTTGGTTTCAAGAAATTTGTCCATTTCATTGAGGTTTTCCAATTTGCTCATATTCTCTAATAATCCTTTTTATTTCTGTAGAATTGGTAATCGTTCCCACTTTCATTTCTGATTTTAGTAATTTGAATCTTTCTTATTTCATGTAAAGGTTTGTCAATTGTATCGCTCTTTTGGAAGAACAACATTAGTTTCACTGATATTCTGTACTGTTTTCCTAATCTCTATTTCATTTATCTCTGTTCTAATATTTATTTCCTTCCTTCTGCTAGCTTTGGGTTTTCTAATGGACAAATAATTTTCCAGGCAGTCCACCAAAAGAGAGTTTATTCGGAAAAAGAAAAAAGCAAAACTATCTCAGCCATGTGAGAACACACATCTTCGGCTGGCCACCCACGTGCAAAAAGTGACTCTCCTCCCAAGATGGCCCCTATAAATAATCCCTCCCCTAGGAAGTTAGAACCATAAAGTTTGAACAGGAAGTCAGGACTAGAGAGTAACAGGAAGCCCAGCTCTATCCATAGACCTCCCAGTTCTTGGGTTAGTTTTCTTAAAATGCCATTTCACTTTTTTCAGGGTTTAGTTTGTTCTTTTTCCTATTTCCTTAAATTGTAAAGTTAGCTTGTCGAGTTGACATCTTTTTCTTTTGTTTTGTTTCAATTTTATGCGGGAACAGCCATGGTCATTGGTTACACATTGCTTTCATGCTACAATGGCACAGTTGACTCTTTTAGGGAGGGCGCAGCTCACAGGAGCCCATGTGGGGATTGAACCAGCAACCTTGGTGTTATCAGCACCACACTCCAACCAACTGAGCTGACTGGTCACCCTGACATCTTGATTTTTAATATAAGAATTTATAGTTATTAAATTTCCCCCTTAGCACTGCTTTCACTGTGTCCCATAACTTTTGGTATGTTGTGTTTTCATTTTCATTTATGTCTAGTATTTTCAAATTGCCCTTGTGGTTTCTTCTTTGACCCATTGATTGTATGATAACTATGCCTTTAAATCTATTGAGACTTTAAGCTGTGGCCTAACCTATGTTCTATCCTGTAAAATGTCCCATGTACACTAAAGAAGAATGTGTATGATGTTGTTGGGTAGTGTTCTGTATATCTCTGTTAGATATAGTTTGTTAAGTCCTCTACTTCCTTACTTACCGTCTTTTTTGATTTTGTATCCACTGTTTTGGGAGGGGTACTGAAATCTCCAATTGTTACTTTAGAACTGTTTCTCCCTTCAATTATGTCAGCTTTTGCTTAATATATTTTGATGTCTGTCATTATGTGCCTAAATGTTTATAATTATATCATTTTACTGCAACTTTTATTAATATGTCCTCCCATGTCTCATGTAAACTTTTAAATTTAAAATCATTTTTTTTCTGATTAGTGTAGCTAACTAACCCTGATATCCTTTGGTTACTATTTGCATGGAATATCTTTTTATATCCTTTCACTTTTAATCTATTTATGTTCTATGATCTAAAGTGAATCTCCTATAGACAGCATATTAGCTGGACAGTGTTTTATGGTGTTTTTTTTTTAGCTGAGCCATCCTGCCACCTGTTGGCAGCTCAACGGCAGTTCAGCTTGGGCCAGGAATCGAACCGGCGACCTTGTTGCTCAGAGCTCGCACTCTTGAGAGAGCTCTTAACCAACTGAGCCACTCGGCTGGCCCTTGGACAGTGTTTTTTATCCATCCTGTCATTCTCTGTCTTTTCAATGGAGAGTTTAATCCATTTATATTCTAAGTAATTGCTGATAAGGACTTCTGTCATTTTGCTATTTCTTTTCTACATGGCATATATTTTTTTGTTTTCTTTTTATTGTTAGTTTCAGGTGTACAGAACAATGCAATAATTATCCTTTTATATGGCATATAGTTTTGTCCCCCATTTCCTGCATTACTACTTTTTGTTTTTTCCTATAGTGAAACATTTAAATTCCTTTCTCATTTTCTTTTATATGTTTCCTGTATATATTCTATAACTATTTTCTTTGTTGTTACTTTGGGGATTACATTTAGCATCCTAAAGCTGTAACAGTCTCATCAGAATTTGTACCCACTTAATTTCAACACCCAAAAACTCTGTTTCTTTAACAGCTCTGCCCCCAACACTTTTGGTTGCTGATGTCACAAAACTACATCTTTATACACTGTGTGCCCCAGCAAATAAACTAATAATTCTTTTAAATGCATTAGTCTCTTAAATTACATATCAAACAAAATGTTGTTACAATAACACTAGCCTTTAATGATTTTCAAAAATGTATCAGTCTTGGGCAGGCAGATCGCTCAGTTGGTTAGAGCGCAAGCTCTGAACAACAGGGCTGCCGGTTCGATTCCCATTTGGGCCAGTAAGCTGTGTCCTCCACAGCTAAGACTGTGAACAATGGCTCAACCTGGAGCAGCTGGTGGCCAGTGTGAGTGGGCGGCAGTAGGCATGAGTGGCCGGCAGCTGGCAAGAGCTGCCGTGAGCTGCCATAGGCTGGCCAACGGCCACAGACCAACTGCCTCAGCCAGGTAGAGCGCAATGCTCATAATACCAACATGGTAAGCTGCGTCCTCCACAACTAGACTAAGAACAACGGCCTGATAAAATCTTTTTAAAAAAGTATCAGTCTCTTAAATACAAAAAAATAAATGGTTACAAATTGTTGTTGCAAGAAAATTAGCTTTTATAATTGTCCATGTATTTACTTTTCTTGAGATTTGTATTTCTCTACACGGCTTAGAGTTACTGTCTAGTGTCCTTTCATGTCGCCTACAGGACTCCCTTGAGCATCTCTTGCAGAGCAGGTCCAGTGGTCACAAGCTCCTCAGCTTTTGTCTATCTGGGAATCTTAATTTCTCTCTCACTTTTGAAGGACAATTTTGCTGAATATAAGAGTCTTGGTTGAAAAGGATTTTTTCCTTTTAACTCTTTGAATATATTGGCCCACTGCTTCCTGACCTTAAAAGCTTCTGATGAGAAATCTGTTAATTGAATTGAGGATCCCTTGTATGTGATGTTTGCTTCTCTCTTGCCGCTTTCGAGATTCTCTGGGTTTGACTTTTGGAAGTCTGATTATGTGTCTCAGTGTCTCTGAGTTCATTTTTCTTGGAATTCACTAAGCTTCCTGAATGCTTCATCAAATCTAGGAAGTTTTTAGCCATTATTTTTTCAATATTCTCTCTGATCTACTTCTGGGACTCCCACAGTGTGTATGTTCATCTGTTTGATGGTGTCCCACAGGTCCCTTAGGCTCTGTTAATTTTTCTTCAGTCTTTTCATTTTCGTTCCTCAGACTCAATACTTTCCACTGACTTATATTCCAGTTTGCGGTTTCTTTCTTTCTTTTTTTAAGATTTTATTGGGAAATTGGGGGAGGGGAACAGCATTGGGGAATCGGGAAAGGGGAACACATAAGTTGCTGTCCTTCTGTTCTTCAGTCTAGTTGTGGAGGACGTCGCTTCACTGACCCATGTTGGTATTACCATTGTGCTCTTCTCGGGTGAGGCAGAAAGGTCACCGGCCATTGGACAGCCGCTTACAGTAGCTTTACAGCAGGCCCACTGCAGCCTACACTGTCGCCAGCGACTCACGCAGCCCAGCTCCAAGTGGAGCTGTTGTCACCATCTTAGCTGTAGAGGGCGCAGCGTCACTGGCCCTCATGTGGGATCCGAACCGGGGCCCTGCTGCTCAGAGCTGGCGTCCCAAGCCAGCTCTTAACCAACGTGCCACTCGGCCGGCCCTCCTGTTTCTTTCTTGTGCATACTCAAATCTGCCTTTGAATCCCATTAGTGAATATTTCATTTTAGTTACTGTACTTTCAGCCCCAGAATTTCTTCATGATTTCTCTTTGTTTTCTATCTCTTTATTAGATCCATTTGGTTCACACATCATTTTTCCTGACTCCTCACATTTTCTGTAGTTCTTTAAGACAGTTTTAAAGTCTTTGTCTAGTAGATCTGCCATCAGGTCTTTTTCAGGGACAGTTTCTGTTGATTTTTCTTTGAATGAGGCATACTTTTCTATTTATTTGTATGCCTTGTGGGTTTCTTGTTGTTGAAAACTGGACATTTGAATCTAATAATGTGGCAACTCTGGAAATCTGAATTCTCCCCATTCCCCAGTTTGCTGTTTTACTTTTTTGGTTTTTTTCCTTGTTGTAGGCTGTCTCTGTGCCCAAGATCAGCAAAATCCCTCCCTCAGGCCCTCTCCCAATTCTCAGATACCCTCTATTTTATCAGAAATGTACAAGGTCCCCGTGTCTACAGAGAAAGGTGCTGACAGCCTGCCAGCATTGCAGGTGTGAGGCAACATTCTCCCTCCTGAAATGCTCTACAAAAACGGAAATGACATTCCAGGTTTCCTTGCTTTATCGTAACAGTGTACCTGCCTATCTGAGTATTTAACGTTGTTTGTATACTTCAGGCTGATGGTACTCGGACAGTGCTTGTCCACGCAGAACTAAATGATGATGCACTTGACTTTCTCCAGCAGCACTGTCATGACACCCCCTCACCCCCACCCGACACATGTCCTTTCTCCGAGAGGCTTATCAAGGCCACAATGCACTGAGGGACACTAAGCAGTGCTCCAGCAGCACAATGGGGCCATGTTCAAACAATGAAATCACCATCAGAAGACACAAAAATGTGGAAAATGTAGCACAGCTCAACTGTGAAAAGCACAATTGTTGACAGTACGAGGGGAAGCGAGAAGGCAGAGGGTCACCTTGTCTGAACTTGACTGATTTCCACCTGTCTGCACACATCGAGAATGATCGTGAAAGCACCAGGAGTTATAAAGACATTTCAGTGAGTCTGAAAATAATGAGAGCTACCTGAGTGTCATCAATCTGAAAGGTGTTTATGTATTTTCCACAGGTCGTCTCACTTCTCCTGGTGAGTGACAACAATGCTCAGTGAGGACAACTGCATGTCACACGAAGGCTTTCCTGTGAAACACTAGAAATGACTTTGCTGTTCAAAGCAGAGGTCCCATCACATACAGCTTCACTGCCCACTCCCTGGTGGTCCACATCAGTCACCTCGGTCCTTTCTGTCACCACCTCTCTCCACCTCTGGTTCCTGCTCTGCCTTTCGGAGCTCCCACTTGTGACCTGGCATGAGCCCCTCACGGAGGGCCCGGCCGTTGTCCAGGTCGTCTTCACTCATCGCCCCCCACGGGCAGTTCCTGGGGGAGAGGTCATCGCCTGGACGGAGCTTCCCCTTCTTCCTCTTTTTCTTCTGCGTTGTCAGCTCGGCCACCTGCCCAGGCCCTGACCACACTGGGCTCACGCCCCCACGCGCCTTGTCCTTCCTCCTCTTGTACTCCACGATCTGCCTGCCAAGTGCCTCGTGATCAATCCCGCTCAGACTCGAGGACACAGTGGGGCCCAGGGTGTCGCATGGCAGTGGGGTGTCCGGGGCCTCAGGGTCCCTGCAGGGCAGAAGCACCAATGACACTCTGATCCCCTCTGTGGGGCTCCCAGGGTAGTGGGCACTCCCCACACCCACTGCCTGTGCACTGTCCCCATGCCCTCTGAAGGGACACTGAGAGGACAGGACGGAGGGTGGGCCTGGAGCTGGCATTCACCAGGCGCCTGTGTGTGGCACAGGCCAGCACAGGTCTGATGCCGCCGTCTGCAGGTCACAAATACATTTCAACATGTAAAGACACCAGTGCACCAGGCCAGTGACACAGAGCTATAGGTGGGGCCTTTTAAATCTATCACTCATGTTACCTGATGAACCGAAAAGAATGAAGAGTCTATTCTGAAAACAAAACCAGAGCGACCCTTTCAAAACCCCAATCCTGCCGTGTCCCACCTCTGAACCCCTAACACTTCGCTCTGGAAGGTTCCACACCCACAGGTTTGCCTCCCCACCCGCCTTCTTGATGCTGCCTGCAGCCTCTGCTCTAGCTCAGTGGCCCCGAGGGCCCCCAAGGTCCTGACAGTGCCCACATGAAGGTGATACAGCCGGCCGGGTGGCTGCCCCCTCACCTGGCACGGCCCCTCCACACACAACCCTGGAATCTTCACGTGCCTTTCTCAGAGGCCCACCCTGGTGTCTAATTTAAAACTGCAATGCTGCCCCCCACTGGAGTCCCCTCCTAACACAATTGACTTCTCCATGATGGTAACTGCTTCCTGTCAGCCTCCCTAGCAAAATGCAGGCCCCAAACACTATCCTCTGTTCCTGGATGTCCCCTAAGTGCTATAGGACAGGGCCTGGCGTGCACTGGGGGCAAGAGGTGAGGGACACAGCCGTTCTGACATGACACGTCGCAGACGCCACAGGCACGTCTGGGTGGACCTGAGGCCCTCATGAGGCCTGGGCACTGTCTCCAGGCCACCATCGCCGGGCCGTTACCAGAACACAGTGCGGGGCCTGGCCGCAATGACAGCTGGGGGGCGCTGTGGACACGCAACCCACACCTTCATATGTGCCCTAGAGAACCCAACACACGTCCAGGTGCATCACCTGCAGCTGTTCTGTATGACATCGTCTTTTCCATCAGGAGGGCCAAAGTCAGCAACTGCCAGTAACCGGTCAACCTGAAAAGGAACAGACAGGGTGATTCAGCCCCACCTCCCGGGGCCTGTGTCTGAGCCTGGCTCAAGCGGACCTGTCATGTGTCTCCACGCTGGCTCGGCCGCAGGCCTTCCAGTGACCCTGCCCAAACGACGAGACCTGTTCAACAGCCTGTGCCCTTCACACACCTGTTATTTATTTATTTATTTATTTTCTGATTTGGTGCCAGTGCTCAACTTGGAGCTACTCAGTAAAAGTATCAGAGCATCCTGAGTTCACCAGCTGCCTGCCTGGTGCCTGTGGACCCGTAAGAGTTGTCTAAGAAACAGTGTGATGTCAGTGGGCCTAACTTGCTCACTGAAAAATTGCCTCAGGTGCTGGGCCAGTTGGGTGGGGCAGGGTCTCAGGAGTCACCAGAGTGGAGTGAGTGGAGCTCACCAGGCCAATTTAGATTCAAATTTGGCTGTGTGGGGGAACACACCTGTTATTTTAACAATCATGTTTTCTCTGATAATGAACAGTTTTTAAAAACTACATTTAAAACTTGTAAATGTTAGTCAAACTTATGGGAAAAAGTTAAATATTAGCTGAATTAAATAACTAATATTTACTGGTTTGTCAAATGCTTGCTTTGCCACAGAATTCATTTGGGGAAAAAGCCCCCCAGCATGGCTGCATAAACTCAGTTGGGGCCACGTCAAGTCGGCCAGAGGCGGCCGCAGGGCCCAAGCCGCAGGGCACTCGAGCTGCCACCCGAGGGCCTCGCCCAGAGGGCCCTGCTCCTTGCACACCATGGGCTGCTGGCATGTCCACCTGCCTGCTCCGCCCGCCACCGGGTCGTGTCACCAAGACTGCGCGCTGAGGGCCAACCTCAGTGACTGCCTTCAGTGCTAGCCGGGGGTGTGGGGGGACCTGGCATCCTGCAGCAACCAAAAGCACCACACTAGCGACCATTACAAACGTGCACAGAAGCATAACCAAAAGAAAAATCAGTCCACAGAAAATATCCAGAAACAGGACTGATGATGCCACAAAACCAGGAGAAATTGAACTTTTCCAAAGTTAAAGCACAGAGCAAAGGTTCTCAGCACATGTTTCTGACAAGGGACTTGGACTGGACACATGATGAGCCTGCATGCCTCGACAGCGGAAGTAAACACGGCTAGGATCTGAACAGACCTCAGAAAAGAAGAAGTGACCCACAGGCACTGAGCAGACACTCGGGATGGCCAGGTAGGAGAAAATGCTGCACATCTCAACCCCCTGAATGGCAGCCCCAAGCAACGGAGGGTGTGGACCACAGGGCTCCTCCACCAGCCCGAGTGGACCACAAGGCTGCAGGCACACCGCAGCCGTCTCCAGGAAGTGACACACCGCTGCTCCTCGGCGCTAACCTACAACAGAACCACTTCCGTAACAAGATCTGACATCCAGCAGCTCTACTCATGAGCCTAAAACCAGAAAAAAGACCAACGTCCACCAACAGGTGAGGGAGGGGCAAAGGCAGTGCAGTCCATGTGTACAATGGACCCCATTCAGCAACAAAAATGAGCTAGTCACACACGTAGCAGGGACAAACCCGAGACACTGTTGAGCAAAAGGCGACATCCTGTCTGATTCCAGTGGAGGTCCTAGAAATGTAACTGTGCTAAGTACCAAAATGGCACCGAAATCCAGTGGGTGGCGGGGGCAGGCTGGGGGAGAGGGATGGCGTCACATAGGGCAGCATTGCTTCATATGGGTACATTTCATCGTAGGTACATTGTGCCTCCATAGAGCTTATGTTAGAAGTTTTAACAAGGAACTCGGTGTAACGTCAAATCCCAACAGTAACACAAGCCCCTGGGTTAAGTGCTTGTGTTAAATCTGCATGTATGGAGCCCGTCGTCTGCAAGGGCAGCTCCAGCTCCTCGGTTAGGCCTCCTCTACCTGATGCCTCAGCTGCTGGATGTCAGCCGGAGACAAGCAAACGTAACAAGCTACAATACTCGTGCCAGTTTGTGTACTTCCTTTAAAACTTCAGTTTTCCCTTTGAGTTATAAAAAAATCAACATTTTAACAACCTTTTGGTTGAAATGTAAGACACACAGGAAAAGCACATACGTTAATGAGTGTATAGCTTGATGGCGCCTCACCAATGCAACACCTGTGGACACCTCTGGACATGTATAAGATGAACCCCACAGCCTCCTCCACGTCCCTCAGGTCGCTCGCCTCCCAGGGACTTGCATCACCAGAGACCCAGCATGCTTGTCCTTGAGCTTTCTATATACAGAACCAGAGAAGGTTCCCATCGGTGGGGGGTTGAGGGCGCAGGAGGCTGGACCAGAGCACTCTCACCCGTTCCACTGCTGACGCACCCGGGCGCCCACGGGAAATTCTGCTGCCAACACACTTGAGTGTCTGGTGCCCACATGCCCATTCCCATGGGCACCCATGGAGACTGCAGGTCACAGGATGTGGCGTTGAGAGATGCACCGTGACCATATGGTTGGACCCTTTAACACCTCCCCTGGGCGCACGTGCAACATCGTGGGACAGACGCTGGACAGGCCCGAGGCCGCCTCCAACACAAACACCCAACACAAACACCCAATCTCTCTCCACCAACACAAGCATTTCATGTGCCTCCCTCGTTGCAGTGACTCTTTCTGGGAAGGAACCCAGGGCCAGGTGGGGCCTTGATGGCTATTACAATAGTTCTGCCTCCCCAGAGGGTGTGACAGGTCAGGAGTGCAGCCGAGGGTTCTGCCTCCAGGAGTCTGGGATTCTCACAGCTGATCACGTGTGGGTGCGTCCTATCTCCCCAGCACACCCACAGCCTAAATTCTGCTGGATTCGTTAAAGCTAGCACTGTAACTTCACTTCTTCGTTTCCTTTTCTGTCAAGGTCATTATTTACATAATGCTTTCAGTATTGCTTGTATAATGAATAACAAGGCAGAAATGTTCAATTAGATATTTTTTCTGTGGATCTAAATGCTTAGTTCTACAGTGAGTAACAGCCACCTAATTAAAATATCGTAAATGCTACTTCCTGTTTTTTTGATAAACTCTTTAAGGTATAACATATCTTAATAACACCAGGTAACCACCACTCAGATAAAATATATAAATATATTAACAGGTTTTACGGCTTATAATTAACCTACATCTAAAGCAAGGACATACTTACAAAAGTTAGTTATAGAACAGAACACAAACCTTGAAAGCCTTGATGGTGTGAAGTAACTGTAGGCAGATCAAAATCTAGAGAGGTTAGAGGAGGCGGCAAGTTCAGACTGCCTGAAGCTTGACAACCGAGAAATGCAGATTTGGTTCACTCAAGTAACAGGGACAGCCAGAACACGAGGTTACCTCTGGCGACTTAGGCTGGGAAGGGGCATTTGTGCCTTTTCAAGTCTCCCTGTTTTAAACTATATCCATTATCTTCTTAGAAACCTTACTCCTGTAAAAGCTGACGTCATAAAAAGTCTATTATTTAAAGGCCTCACCTCAGCTAGGGCTGCATGTCCTTTGTCCTGAATGAACACAATCGGCGGCACGTTCCTCAGTGTCTGCTGGGACATCAAAAGATGCCTGGAGAGAGACAGGGCAGATTTACACTGTGGCAGGTGACAGTTATTGCAGAGGTGTGACAGTGCCAGGAACAGAAACATGATAATCTTGTGAAGACATAAGAAATAAGATCCGCTATCACATTATTCTAAGATGAAAATGTCAGTGGGCAATGTCTTCTTTAGCCAACGGCATGTTACAAAAGGGTAAGAAACGCATCATCTCCACAATCGATTTTACTTTTCTTTTTTTTTTTAAAGAGTTTATTGGGGAATTGGGGGATGGGAACAGCGCTAGGGAATTGGAGGAAGGGGAACAGACAAGTTGCTGTCCTTTTGTTCTTCAGTCTAGTTGTGGAGGACGTTGCTTCACTGGCCCAAGTTGGCATTATCATTGTGCTCTTCCCGGGTGAGGTAGATAGGTCGCCGGTCTGTGGACAGCCGCTCACAGCAGCGGACAGCCGCTCACAGCAGCTGCCGGCCACACACGGTAGCCCATAGCAACCCACTGCAGCCTCACTGCAGCCTACGCCGTCGCCGGCAACTCATGGCAGCCCAGCTCCAGGTCGAGCTGTTGTTGACCATCTTGGCTGCAGAGGGCAGTGTCACTGGCCCTCGTGTGGGATCTGAACTGGAGCCCTGCTGCTCAGAGCTGGTGTCCCAAGCCAACTCCTAACCAACGCGCCACTCAGCCAGCCCTGATTTTACTTTTCTAAAAGCAACTTGTAGGTTCCTATAAATAACGACCTGAATGCAGATAGCCTCCTGGGCTCCACGCGTGGGCACTAACCACCTGTCCATGTGCCATCCTCCACTCAGGGGACATGCAACGCCCCCAAAGTGCAACATAGTCCCACGCCAATTTGGGTGTCAGTGCCCAGTGCAATGTGGCTGCGACACACAGCACACTGCTCAGGGACCCACTCCCTCTGGTGCAGTTATGGAAAAACCCTTACACTAAACCCTGGGTGGTGAGAAGAGTTGGGAAAAGAGACATTCTGTTCAACTGAATTGTCTAACTAGCTAAAAATTAGTCAGAAGACAATACTGTTATCTCGATACTTGTTGGAAATGTCTGTTTTTCTGTTAAATGTAAAAAATGAAATTAACTGGCCATTCCTCAGACACAAGTTTACACTGCGATGGACGTCAGTGACCACAACGTAGGACAGCCAAGTACATGGTGTGGAAATACTAGTTCTGTGTACAACTCACTTCTCAACATCTGTTCCCTGCCCCTGACAATGACGGATGGGGATGGGTGACAAGGACACAGAGAGGAGAGGGAAGCAGGAAGGGCAGGCTCAACTCTGAGGGTGCAGGTTATAGAGTTTCTGCATCTTTTAAGCCTGAGGAGAAAACTGAGTAACTTCTTTACTGTCACCCAGCTCAGCAGTTCTCAAAACCTCAGGACCCCTTCACATTGAAAAAATTACTGAAGACCCCAAAGAGCTTTTGTTTATGTAGGTTGTGTCTACCAATGTTTGCCATACTAAAAATTAAAACTAAGAATTTGAAAAATATGTATGTATTAATACATTTTAAGGAAATGTATTAAAGGAAACCTACTGAACATGCATATAGACATTTTTAATGAAAATAACTGTATTTTCCAAACACAATTATTGAGGAGGGGCACTGTTTACACAGTTGTAGGCTTCTTCCCTGCCCAGCTAAATGGAAGCCACCTGGGTCCTCACGTCTGCATCTGCATTCAATCAGTTTCGATGTTATTTTGGTTGAAATATAAGAAGAAAACCTGGCCTCACAGATCTGTAACTGGAAAATGGAGGAGTATGTGAACACCCCTCAGAAAAGTGTGGATTTTTTGGACACTAAACAAAAACTGAACAAATGGCAGTTTTTTAAAGGTTAGTTGCAATGTGGAATCTGAAACCAAATGAAGAACATGTCCCCTCAGTGACATGAGAATCGCTGGTCTCCGGCACTCTGGTCTTTCCCGATGCGTGATTCTGTAACCCCACGCACTGGCCATCGGGAAAGACTGGGTCACTAAGCTACGCAGGTTTTCAGAAGGTTGACACATTTTACTACGTGACATTGCACTTAATATCACCACCAATCTCATCCAGAGTCCCTAAGCATTAAAAAGCTGTGAACCTCACAGTGGACACAAGTTTTCTAAACTGATTGTCACTTGAAAGCTTGAATGTTATCGCTGGCAACAAGTATGGTCAGTTTTCCCTCAAGTGACAGGAAAATGTCTGTCCAATACCCAAATCTGAAAACCACATCTGGTTCACTTCCTCCTTCGAGGGAAACGTCCTTCTGCTCAGTCTAGCCATCTCCTCAGCCCACAGCGGGTGCCCCACCGCCCTGCCAGGCAACAGACATGCACCTAAGCATTGAAATTTAATGAAATTAATAGCTTCTGCTTGTCCACCAAGGGCACTCCTAAATACACTGGCCCTGATTTGACTCTGAGCATGTGGTATGAAGCTACACTGACCACCAGGCCATCTGGTGGTCACCACGTGGCTTCAGTGCAAATGTGCACAGTGAGAAAGGGATAGAACATGTTACTGGGGAAGCAGCTTTAACCTCACGAAACCCTGAAAGGGTCTCAGGTGCCCAGAGCTGCAGGACCACTCTCTCTCAGAGAACCATAGACCTAGATTATGGCTCATGTGAGAAAATAAATTATACTCTGAAGTTCAAGAAAATGCCTCCAAAATTTTCCTTAACAGCAAAATTACATAAAAAGTAGGCTGGGAGCTCAAGGTGCCGTGGAAGCAAACCCCGGGCAGCCGGCGAGCTCACCTCAACTGCGCGGCGCTCCTCTGCAGGATGGCCTCCGCGTGCGTGTCCCGCTCGGCAGACAGGGTGGCCTTCCAGTACACCCGGCAGGCAGAGAAGTCCCACGTCACAGACACCTGAGCCGACCCGGCAAATCACTTTCAGCTCACGTGGGCTTTCTCAAGAAAACCCACGCGACAGCAGTCCAGCAGTCGGCCACCTAGAGCGGGTACTTGGGTGCGCTGCCACAGCCCGCAACTTCTGCTGCACACCCAGACAAAGAACCCTCGGCGAGCACCCCACCCCGCAGCACTTGCAACAACCCCTGAACTGCCCGGGCATCCTCATCGTTTCCCTTTGGCTGAACTCACCCTAAGCAAACAGACGGCAAATGTCACCTCCCTCACCTTTACACCAAGACAAAGGCAGAGGCGGCCACTTCTCACCTGGCCCCCAGGCCTCCCAGCTCTACACTTCCTCATACTTACTGGGCGTCTCACCACACTCTCCGTGCTGCCTGGTCATGGCCCCCCGTGTGCAGCAGGAACGTGCCTCCACACCACACACGTGGACGTAGACTGGCATATTCAGCACCACCTCCACAACCCAAACTAAAGACCTGGCGAGACATGCATGCGATCAGGCCTGCGGTCCTCAGCCCCACTGCTTCTCGCTGGGCCCGGGCTGGCTACCTTGGAGATCTCCACGTTTAGGTCGCAGATCTCTTGGCTCACTTGGGGGGTGCACAGCAAATCGGTGAGCGCTTTGTAGAGGAGGCCGTTCAGGGTCCTCAAGCGCACGTGGTCTTCCTTCCTGGTTTTCTTGGAGGTGCTTTTGGTTAGGAATTTCAGCTGGGATGGCTTGTAAGTCTCCGTTAGAAAAGCAGACACAAAGGCCAACATCAGACTGTATATTAAACTGTACTAACTTCCAAAAGGGGCAGCTGGGAAGGACCTGAACACCTCATAAACAAGAAACAAATGTTATTCTCGGACATCTTAGCTTTCATTAAGATACAGTGTATTTTATAGAGCTGGATCCTTCCACATTTTACCTAGCATCCCTCCAAGATTAAAAGTATTGCTAGTATGTAGTTTTTTCCAAAAAACATTTCATTGAAATATAATCCACATATCATAAAACTCTCCCTCTTAAAAGGTACAGTTCAGTGATTGGATACAATGTAGTTTTCTAACAAGAGCCATTCATTACAAAAATTTTTACAGTGTATCTAAATTCATGTTTTACACACACCCACACACACACCCACAAACACACACACAACTGAATGGACATTCCCATGTTAGAATTTGATCATAGATATGACATTCTGGAAAATTTTAATGTCAGATTTTTGTTGTTGTTTTTTTTTTATCAAAATTCCATGTTACCAATGCATCTAGTCCCAGCCTTACAGAACCTGTTCCCTCTGGAATGGAAATGGAAGGACTGCCAGGCTGGAGCTTTGCCAACTTTTGGAATCTCATGCCCATCAAGGCTCTAAAGTGGCTCATCACTGCTGCTTTCTACTTACCAAGTGAGGGCCCAGGGAAGGACCTTCATACCAAAACTTTTTTCTATGGGGAGAAAATAAAACTATGTTGGATATTGATAGCAAATTAAAGAAAAAAGTTATATAAGCTAACTCGACGTTATGATACCACAACTGTTTCTAAGGGGCTAAACTTGGACACAGAAATTATGAGAACAGGAATCTAAAAAATTTAGATATCTAACTGACAACATGGGTTGTGGGAAAGAGACAGAAGATGGTTTTAATTCAACCTCATAATTTTCTACTCAAAGTCTACTTCTAGTCCCAAAGACAGAGAAAGATAATCTTAAAAATACACAAACCAAAATGCACATGAGCACTGTGCTTTGATAAAGCTGTTTCCGGGGAGCACAGGGTAACCACCAACACTGCCACACACACAGACTGGGGTTGAACAACTGCGTAACTAGGTGGTGGGTAGGGGAGCCAGGCTCTCGTTGCTGCAGTGGGAGGTTCCACAAGAGCAAGGAAAGGAAGCTACAACAAGCCGTGCGTCAGTGGGTTAGAAATGGAAGTCTGTGTGATCTCAAGCCTCGTTTAATACAGACACTGGTGGTGACATACAGAATCGTTCACAGGTAAGTGTGTACACAGAGGTTAATATGCACACCTACTTTTTGCTTTGTCAGCTGAAATGGCCTAAAAGACAGACATCCAGTAGCAATGAACATACTGAGCTCGGGTGAGGTTTCTAATGCTCTTCTCCAATAACAGGGACAAGGGCTCCTTGGGGAAACGGCTGATTCCGGAGCACAGGCGTGGACTCCATCAACACTGGTTCATTAATTACAACAAACATGCCAGACTAACGTAAGGTGCTACTATAGGGGGAACTGGGAGTGGTTTATGGGAATATGCACTTTGCTTCATATGTTCATGACACACTGTTAGTTTTAAGACTTAAAACTGTATTATCTCAACTGGAAAAGACCAGAAAAAAAGATTGGGTGGGAAAAACAGCAAATGTTAACAGAGAGGGGTGCAGTTGTCAGTGACCTTTCAATAATCACTAATCTAACAAGCAAAGTCTGAGCTTGCTGACCTGGGAGCTGGGAGCCAGGGCTCCGGGAACCCGCCCTTCGCGTGGACCCCCGCCCCGAGGGCACCCCCCAGCCCCGCTACCCAGCGAGCCGCCCCATCGCCCCCACCCTCCGCACTCGGGGAGCGTTACTTGGTTTTGGAAGCAAATTTCTTGAGCAGGTTCTTGCCACAGGAGACCGGCGAGCCGTGCAGGCCTCGGGCGCCACCTGGAAGAAGCCCGGCATGACGGCCGCCAAGCACCGCCCGGAGCCCCGCGCGGAGCCCCAAACTCCCCTGAACCACAACACACATGGCCGCGAACGAACGCCGGGGCCGGGTGATGTGCAGCGGGTTACGTGGGGCGGGGCGACGTACGCGGGGCGGGGCCTGGAGGATCGGTAGGCGGGACATGAAGCGGCAAGATGGGGCAACGTGCGTGCGGGGCGGGGCGGCCTGCGCGGGGCGGGGCTACGTGAACAGGGCGGGGCTACGTGGGCAGGGCGGGGCCTGGAGGATGCGTAGGCGGGACGTGAAACAGAGGTGCAGAGCGACACGAGGCGGGGCCTGGGCGACAGGTTGACTGGACGTGAAGCGGCAGGGCGGGGCGACGTAAGCACGGAGCGGCGGACGGGGCGGGGCGGGGCCTTGGGGCAAGGCGGGGCCTGGATGACGGGTCAGCGGGAAGTGAAGCGGCAGGGCAGGGCGACGTAAGTGCGGAGAGTGGCGACATGGGGCAGGGCGGGGCCTGGAGGATGCGTAGGCGGGAGGTGAAGCAGCGGGGGCAGGACCCATAGGCAGGGTGGGGTCACCGTGGAAAGCGCACAGGCGGGCTGCTGTGAGCGCAGGAGCAGGGGATATAGTTTCTACAAACACA